AAAAATATTTGAACACAGTCAGTGTTAATGGTCTCGGTGCCGTAAACATTTTTTGAATTGAGATTTTAAAAAAAAAACTTGAAACTTTACGTTTATGTCAATGACCTGGTCAGGTCCATTATTTCTTTATTACGTACTTAACATGTGAATAATTTGTTTCAAAATGTTCTCGCTAACGTACACGAAAAGCTATCTAATTTTGAAGTAGTAGACAAAAAAAAGAAGTCAGCTAACACCCAATGACCTTTATTTTACAATCCGGGTATGCTTACCACTAGAGTCATGCCAGGCCAAACGTATGAATAAAAAGTCTAAAACCATTAATGTTCTGTTGACGAGGGTAGCCCATTACGTAATGAGTGCAAGATTGAGAAGGCAGTCTTATTATATTTATAATCTTAAGGTGTAAACTATTAATCAGATTCACACATAGGTGTGAATAGCAAAATAGTATTATTGAATAGAAAATCTATCAGTTGAATAAACCCATCTTAAGCATATTTAAGCTTAGAATGTCAATAAAAGTATATTCAATACTTAAATACATTTTATAATTTTAAAGATATTAACAAGTACTTGTAAACAGAATGTAGATGTCTGAACTCGATGTTATCTTAACTGCTGAAGATTTCATTCTCTCTACTTATTGTGCTTATTTTAGTAAACAATAAGATAAACGTCATTAATGCGCCTTTCAATAATAAATGTATTTTTACGCTGCACTTTCAAAAACTCAGTTAAATCAGCATTTCAACAAATTATTGTTCTAAAATCTTCCATATTTTAAGCTCATCATTGATCTCCAACTTAATATCTAATTGTAGCGTCATATGTACATGAATGTTTTTGATATTAAACTGTATATCTTGGTCGTAAACATATTTCATTGAGAAGTGTTATTTAGTATGACTCTAGATCGTTTATGGTTTGTTTGCTTCAGGGCAAAGCCACATTGAGCTATCTATTGTGTCCACCGCGGAAAATCGAACCCCAGATTTTAACATTGTAAGTCCGTCAACTTGCCGCTATCCCACTTGTTTTTCTTTAAGTAATTAATTTATTTCTATTTCTAGACAAGATGTTATTTAAATTATGTTATGCTCTAAACTGGGCCGGACGTGACCTATTAGTTAAAGTGGCCGAATTGCGAACCCGAAGTTTCGTGATTTGAGTTCCATTGCTTCAAAAATTATCTCCGAACTTTAGGACCTTAGATACGCTATACGACAGACGGTAAAATCCCGCTATTCAGTCAACAAGATTAACCGAAACGTTGGAAGTGAGTGCTGTTGACTATAGCTGCAATCCCCCTAGTCTGTCAGTTGAAAATTATAGGCGACTGTACTCAGATAGTCCTCGAGTAGCTTTACACGAAAATTGAAAACATTCTACCTTCTTGTTAACTTTTTCTCTAACAATAAATAAAACAACTATGAATTTGTTGAAAGAATTTCGAAATGATAACTATTAGCGGTTTAAAAGGCCTCATTCTGAGTATTAATTATATTAACATTGCATTTTGCGTGGACAATTAATCAAAACAATTACTTAAAAATGAGGTGGTATAATCCAATCTCGAGCAAATTAAGGGACTTTTTTTACATTATTTAAAAATTGTATTTTTATATACATCATTTTAGGAGATTTCCAATAAAAGGTTAAGCTGTGCAGAAATTAATAACATCCAGTTTTCTGTTTTGTACTTAACAATATGGTAATCTTAGATCGTGTATTATCTGTATAAAATCATGCGAATATTTTTCACTTGACGTACACAATTAATATTTAATGAATTCCGATTTGATATTACTTTATTTAATATTCAGGATATTCGTATAGTTTAAATTCGTGGTTATCAACTCTTTCTTCTCTCTTAGTTTGTTTCCACTTTCTCTAAACATTGCTTATTTGTTTGTTGAATTTCGTGCAAAACTACTATCTCTAATTTTGAAGTGATAGGCTAGAGAGAAGAGAACTGGTCAAAACCACTCACTGCTCTTTATCAACGAATAGTAAGATTGAGCGTCACATTATAACGCCTCCTACAGCTGAAAGGGCGAGCATGTTCAGTAATTGGTTTCGACCACACGACCGGAAGATTGGGAGTCGAGTGCTCACTCTGAACATATTATTCCAAATTTACAACGTTTTTATTAGAAGTAACATTATTGTCTCAGCCATGGGGAAAAATGTATTAACCATTTTGATAACTTTCAGGGAAGTTATCAACAAAAACGATATGTGCTATGAGAATAATTTGATTACAGACCCTTAATTATTTAAAGGAGAAGTATATCTTCGAAAAATATATGATCTGTTTAAGCTATAAAACACAGTTAAAGTATATTTAAAAAGAATTAAAAGGTAAAAACTCAAACAATGATTTAGAACACCAAAATAACGAAATTCGAATATGCTGGTCGCTTTACAAATAATGTCATTAATTCTACTATTAATTCTAGTAAATCTTTATAAATTAATGTATTTGTTTTTATAATTGTACAGGCTATTAATGATTTTACATAATGGAGACAAAATAGGGGTTTGTAATTTGAGTATTTAATGTCTACAGTATATCCAGTCTTATATGCTTACCTTGTTTACTATCCCTATCCCTTTAAGTTCTCAATTTTTTACTTATCTTGTGTCTCAAGCTTGTTTCTTTAGTTTTTGCGACTGCATTTTCACTTTAAGCTAGCTATCTTGTTTCTGTATTCTTTTATGATCCCTGTTCCCCTTTTTAAATTAACAATTTTTAATAATCTTGTTATATCATAAAAATAGTGTTGTTTTCACTAACGTCCATCCACCAATATTCCATTTTCGCAAGCTGCGTGATAATCGAAGCATAATTGATTACTATATAGACAATTGCATAAATATTGATTATTTTTTATAAAACTTAGATTCTAAATTATTACGGTTTCTATATCAATCTTCGGTTATGGATTTTGAGATTTGAGATTTAGTATTATTAATAATAGATTTTAATAAGAATAATTAAAAATGTTAATGTTCAAAATAATATTATATTTGATAAATCGTTTGCCCTGATAAAAACGTTTTACTTTATTCATAACGTCTTTATCCAGAAACATTTCAGATCTTCTTTAAGTCATTAATCTCTGAATAATTTAATAAATTATATTAAATTATTAGTTTTTAGGGGAAAGCAAATAAGTTGTGATCTTTAAAGTTTTAATTTTGTCAAATACATAAAAAGTATACTTATCAGGCATATGCAAGTCTTGAGAAAATAGACTTCAAGCAAAAGCTCAGACATTTTCAGAATTTTCAACACGTTCATTAGCAGGAACTAACGATTACATATAGCAAGAAAAATTGCTCGCATAACACATTTTAAATAACTGTTCAGATTTGAAAGGTCTTTGTGCAGGGCTAATGAAAAGAGAATACGTTCCAGACAACTACCTCGTATTAGCTGCTGCATTCATTTTCTTTTCATTCATTACAGCATCAGAAATATTTAAAGATACTCGTATATAATATATACATACTTTGAAATTGATGTATTTCCTTACATGAGGTATAAATAATTAACATCAAAGACAAATACATAATCAAATCATTATATCGCAAGATTACCGAATAGTACAAAATAAGTTTTATTAGAACATGTAATGTTCCTTTTATGCCTCAAAGGAAATTTTATACTTATATACTTTTCCATTACTAGTACAGAAAAAGTTACGTAGTTCTTACACACGTTTAAATAAAACAAAATATAATAAAAAATGTGTTAATAAATAAAGTAAAATCAGCCATTGATTTCATTCACCTCTCTAAAAACAATGAAAAACCAAGTTTACTAGCATCGTTTTGGTCATAGACATACATCAGGCAGTTATTGATTTTAATCTGATAGAAAACAAATCAAAAACCATTTCCATTACATGATACACGAGGTTGACGCGACAGTTTCTAGTAATAGTGTTGTTGTCGCGTCGTCTTCATGCATCATCTAATAAAGTTAGTTTCCCTTGTTCTCTATCACTATATAATCGGTACTTGCTTAGTGTAGGTTTTGACCAAAAGGATGCTGGTAAACTCAATTTTTTTATTTGAGAAGTGAAGGAATTCAATGTCTTATTCTATTTTGTATTTGTTTTGTCTATATTTGTCTTTATTTAAACGTATGAATCAGGACGCACCTGAAAGCAGGTCCACTAAACAATTTAATTTTTTTTTCATAAAAATCCACAAATGTTATTGAAAAATGAGACAACACGTTTCATTCTGAAGAATATTTTACGCTCCCCTAGCACGAAATCCGTAATGGACTGATTAAGAAGAATGTGTAGTGTTATTTCCACAAATATTACTAGGCCTAATTTCCGATAGCTCCTTAAGCTTCTTGTGGTGTTGAGCGTTTATATCTGTATTTAGTTTAAAATATGTGAATATATTGTTAAAAGGCATACGGATTAAGGGTATTTCTTTGAAAAAAATGCACACAAATGTAGATATTAAGATGTAATGATGTTTCCATTATATGGATTACAGTTGCGCCACATATATATAGATCTTTATCCGTCATAATCGAATGATTTTAACTGTATGTTACCTTCATTGGCATATCTTCAAACATACATTTCTAATAAAAACACATTTAGTCTAAAACCTAAACTGTGAATCTCGTGTGTAACGGGCTATAATATTCTTGGAAGACGAATATGACGAAATAAGTGAATAATGATTTTTAAAAATTAATAAACACCAATTTTTACAAGACATGAGATATTCCAAAAGGTGCATCCGCTCTGTTTATAGCTCTTGTTATGAACGTTGTTCTTTTTTGTTGCCATTATAACGCAAAGAGCGCCTGCAGCTTACAAAAATATATAGGCTCATAAAAAAAACACTAAGATATTAAACTACTTAACAAAATGCATTAGTCGTGACATGTTTATACAGAAGTTAAAGTTCAAAATATCTGTAGAAAAAAGAAATGATACATAAAATTTTTAGTATATACTTACGTCACGATGATAAAATCTGATTCTAGAACAAACAATATGAGAGATTGACCCAGTTAAATTCATGTCACTACCATGTCCATAGGCTAGTCCAGTTTATCTTGAGTCATTATCAGATGAATATATGTGACTAGAGATTAAAGCAATAAATTTTTGCCATTGTCAGTTGAAATCCCATGTTCTCAAGCTAGTAGTTTAGTCCAGACTGCCATTAGTTATTGTGAGTTCAACACAAGAGGTTTATTCAGTAAAATCCGTGACACTATCAGACAAAGAACCAAGTCCTTCGTCTACTCCCGTTTACATTAAGTCATTGCGAGAAAAACACGTGTGACTAAAGGTTAGTTCAGTAAAATTCATGGCACTATCAGATATAGATCCATGCCCAAATTCTAGTCCACTTTATCTTGAGTCGTTATGAGATCAACACGTGTGGTTAGAGACTAATTCAGTAAAATTCAGCATGTCCTTAAGCTTCTCCACTTTATCTTGAGTCGTTATGAGATCAACACGTGTGATTAGAGACTAATTCAGTAAAATTCAGCATGGTACTATCAGATATAGATCCATGCCCTTAGGCTTCTCCACTTTATCTTGAGCCGTTATGAGATCAACACGCGCGAATAGCGGCTAGTTCAGTAAAATTCATGGCGCTGCAAGACACAAAGGTTGGACACTGAGCCATCTAGAGAATATCATGCGTAATGAGCGACAACAAAACTCATTCTCATTTTAGGATGACACTTGTGGCACAGTTGCTTATTTAATTGTTATCTTTTAAATTCCTACAAGTCTTATCAGAATATGAAGATTTTTACTTTAATTGACTACATAAGGTTTTCTTTTCAGATGGGTAGAGTGATCTCCCTTCAATTACGGTTGTTATGCTTAAATCAAACACGAAACTGGATGAAGCTCTTCGGTTCCATTTAAAATATAATAGGTCTAAGAAGTTCACGTGTAGTATGTGACGCGTACTACTAGCAAGTGAGAATGAACCGAGAGGAACCAGTTGGGGGTATATACAACGATCGAACCATGTGACGTCGGCAAGTAGGCTGCTCCGAGAAGCGCACTGGTGTATTACCTGGAAAATGTATGGATTCGAGAGGATGGGATGTTGATTCGCGTGCAGTATTAAATATATAATGTGTTCTACACTACGCTGTTATGCTGACAACAATTCGAAAATCAGAAAATTCTCGTGATTCGCTGCATACGAAAGTGTTGTATGACAAAATAATAATAATCGATATATAACTTGGAGTTACCTGACCATCCTCGGTGTTTTATAAATAATCGTTAGCTGCACCATTACAGAGGTGATACGAAAGACTAATGTTCAAACGTTCGAAATTAGCTTTGAAAAAGTAAAGCAAGAACTGTAAGTGACCCCCGTACACATTGCAGGTATACACCCTTTGATATTTTAACTTACACTATAGTTGGTAAAACTAAAGTGGTTTACTTTATCCGCCTTGTATGAACATGACATAATGTTTAACATACGGAGCTGCGAATCGATGAGAAAAACTCAGTTATTCAGTTCAGAGAGCCAGACAAAGCCCCTGTGATGGCAGGTGCTGCTGGTTGGCTGCCCAACCTGTGACTAGTAGCTCAAGATTAGGGACAGCTATGCATGAATTCTAGGGATATTTGACATGGTGGCGGTTTTATATAAGCTTGAGAAGACATACAATATAAGTCACCATGTAATTTTTATTTAACTAACAATTAATTGGTACGTTCTTGTATTACGCATACTGCGCTGGTTTGATACCAATGTTCTTTGGGAAGCCTTACTGTTTCCTAGTGGGTACTCGATTGATATAAGACCAACTGTCAATCTCTATTTCTATCGAGTATTCGTTGGATTGACCTAATCGTAACTTGTCTTAAGCCTAATTAACAAACCACGTGTACTCAGTGCGCATTGAATTGATCTAACCCCATTTGACATGTTCTATTTTTATCTAATATGTATTGGCTTGTCCTAAGCCTAATTGACATATTCTGCCTAGTATTTATTGGATATGCTTAAAACCAATTGACACCTATAAGCTCTATTTTTACCTGGTGTGTACTGAAGTGACCTAAAATCACCCGATAAGCTCTATTTTTACCTAGTGTGTACTGAAGTGATCTAAAGTCACCTGATAAGATCTGTTTTACCTACTATGACTGAAGTGACTTAAGGTAACATGAAAAGCTCAATTTTACCTAGTGTGTACTGAAGTGACCTAAAGTTAACTGAGGAGCTCTTTTTTTACCTAGAGTGTACTGAAGTGACCTAAAGCCGCCCGGTAATCTCTATTTCTACCTAATGTGAACCGAAGTGACCTAAAGTCTCCTGATAAGCTCTATTTATACCTAGTGTGTAGTGAACTGTGACTTATAGTTAAAGGATATATCATCATGCACTTTGTCTTCGCTCAGATTTCAGTTGACTGACTTCACTTTCACCTCATTTACTTTGTTTTGAGTTAAGCTTATTTTGACAGTTTTCTTGTCACCCATATTTTTATGGATTCACTTAGGGTTTAGATCTTCTGTTTTATTTTGATCTAGGCTTCATCTAACTTATTTTAATAACCATTATGTACTAGTTAGGTTTAAGCTTATTTTGCTCTTTGTTTTTGCCACTTATCCTTTCTTGGTATGAATAAATTCTACTTGATTTTTTAATTTTTTTTTCGCCTATTATTACTAGATTTCTCTAGGTTTGTGAGCCAAGGTTTCTCTCGAAAACAAATTATAGTAAACTAAATATACTTATTTAATTCTACCTTCTATATACTCTTTCTTTAGACCAAATCTAAACAGCACGGATCAATATAAAAGTCTGTGGCAAACAGAGTTTCTTCAATCTGATTCACAATGGGTGAACAAGTTCGTGTAGAAACTCTAGAAAAATCAAATTCTGAAACAAATTATGCCTACTGTGTAAGTAAGCAAGTCACGCAAGCTGTTTTGAAATAAGTGTGCAAATTAATTTTACTACACATAATTCACATGTCAGTAAAAATAAGTTATGCGGTTACATTAAGAATAATTTAATTAAGAATACATTGACAATGAAAAATAGTTGTTTGTGAAGGAAATTTCATTGGTTTAGTACGTTACTACTCTCGTTCGTGTTAGATGTAGGTAGACATTTTAACGTCAAGGTATCTCGAGCCAGCAAACCTCCTTCAGTTAGTTAATTTTGTTTAAGCGGAAAGTTGCTCAGTGGGCAGTCTGCGTTGTGACCACTTTAGGGATCGAATCCAGAAGCTTAGTGTTATAAGTTCTTTTAGCTCACAACAAGCAGTGATATTTTTTTTAAGGAACATGACGTTATTTCAGTACATCTTTATATACCACATAAACTAACAATTAACAGTGTTTGTACTAATTATCTGAGTACAAACCCGTGACTGATTTCTCTTAGAAAAAAGTAAAATATAAAACACGAGTTGATTAGGATCCTAAAATTAATATTTGAACATTTTTTTCAAAACCCTCAATGATCCATAAACTGCAATTTTTTCGATTGACCATCACGTACTCCATAACACATAAGATAAACTGAGAAAAAGCCAGCTTCAGATCACTTTCTTTACTTTGTTTTGGAATTTGCGCAAAGCTACTCAAGGACAATCTGCGCTAGCCGTCCCTAATTTTAAGTGATAAACTAGAGGGAAAGCAGTTAGTCAACATCACTCACCGCCAACTCTTGGGCAACTCTTTATCAACGAATAGTGGGATTTGCCATCACATTATAGTCTTCACGGCAGAAAAGTCGAGCATTTCGGGGAAAGGATTCGAACCCACGATTCTCAGATTGCGAGTCTAGGGCTTGAAATTATAATATATTTTAGTCAATGTTTGTTTACGTTATGACCAACATCGTTCATAACAAAATATTTTGCAGTTAGGGAGTATTTAAAATTTATTTATATTTTATGGCTTCGGAAATGTTATTAAACGTAACCTTTACCAACCGCATTGTAACATCTACTATAATAACTTAATTCAGAGAACCTTAGCCAAACAACACCAAATATCATTAATTATACTTGTCAAAAGGCATTAAAATTAGGCCTATCATATTTTAACACTGCATTCTTTATCTAGTCTCTTAGGGATTTTCAAGAATTAGAAGAGTGTATAACAATAGTATTCCAACCACACTGTGGTCGCCATATTCATTGGCCAACGTTGCATTTTGCTTAATCCAGAGGGCTCATCAGACCGGCTGAGAAACAACAAATACATTAAAATCATGCTTCACCTGCTTATAAAAGGCGTTCACATCATAACACCAAATGTGTTAAAGAATAAGTATATATTTTTGTATTTTTGTAAAGTATAAAATTCATAATTTTAATAGTTAAAATGCTTTTAAATAGTTGTGAATAAATATTACTATATTAGATACTTATGAGATATAATGAGATATATCTAATAACTAAACAGTTTCTTCTGAGTATCAAAAGGTGTCTTGGTATAGCTACGTCACAGCGTACTTATCACATTACTTATAAATGTTGGAAATAATTTTGGAAACGATGAGAAGAAAAACGGTATAAAAGGTAAATACGGTAATGTCACCCCTTTATCGTGTAAAAATGAACTGCACCAGAGTAAAATCATCTGTTGATCATTTTCATTGCGATCAGTTGTCATCCAATTAATTAGAAGTGACACAATTTTATAAAATCACAGCATTCATACTATGTTACTAGTGGGAAAATGAAGCCACTCAAGACTTCTAGGACTTCAATACCGCATGACAATCGTGTAAAAATCAAACGTTTTAGCTGGTTAAGGATATTTCGCACAAAAAATTGCAACAAAACTCTATATTTTATCAGGAGCTGCATACAAGACTCTGAAGTAGGTTCGTGGAATTGGCACTCTTAATAACAGAAGTGGTTGGGTAAAATATCTCAGGATTTATTTACTACGACATAAGTGAATAAACCAAAAGGCGGCAAAACAACAATTGTGGGTATTAATAAAGAACATTTTGAAAATATTTCACGATCGTACATTGAGTTGGTTGGTCGATCGGTAGGTTGTTGTTAAGCATATAGCTACACTATGACCTATCTATGCTCTGCCCATCACGGATATAAAACCCCTGTTTTGGTGTTGTAAGCCTGCAGACTTACCACTGAGCCATTGAAGGGGGTGCGTTACATTGGGGAACTGTATTCTAATAAAAACACCACAAGATGTAATTTTTAGCGTGAAGTGAAGGGCTCACATACTAATACATTGTGCAAAATGTTCGCATTTCTTTTATGTTTTATGTAACAATGTTTTGTACTATCAAAAAACCTCATCATCTAGCTGCCATCATACTCATCATCTAATATTTTTGCTACATCTGCTTATTGGAGATTCATTATTATCTTAATTACTGTATATATAATAAAAGTTTGTTAGGGAGCTCGACTCCCAATCTGAGGGTCGCGGGTTCGAATCCTCCTCCCACTAAACATGCTCGCCCTGTCAGCCGTGGGGGCGTTATAATGTGACGGTCAATCCCACTATTCGTTGGTAAAAGAGTAGCCCAAGAGTTGGCGGTGGGTGGTGATGACTAGCTGCCTTCCCTCTAGTCTTACACTGCTAAATTAGGAAAGGCTAGCGCAGATAGCCCTCCTGTAGCTTTGCGCGAAATTAAAACAAACAAAAGTTTGTTTTTCTAAATGAAGCTTCAATTGACGTTAAAATAGTAAACTCTCACGCTCATAAAAATTGTTGGGTTGTAGAACAATTCAAGCTGAGTCCTTTTCAGTCAAAGTACTCCGTAAGACTTTGGACTTGATAACAATGAATCAATCTTATACGTTGTACTGGGTCAAATTATTACTTCAATGATGATCCAATTTTCATTGGTTTTAGAACCCAATTCTGATTTAGTGTAACATTTACGACTCAACAGATTTGATAAATAGTGATTATGAAACCGCACGAAACTCAATAATTATATCATTACTTATATGTA